CTGGCGCGAACGCGTCCGGGCCCTCGAACAAGCGGCGGCCGCCGCGCCGGGCGACGGCGGCGGCGCCGCCGAGCGCCGCCTCGCGGAGGCCGAGGCGACGTCGACGGCGGCGCTCGCGGCCGCCGCCGCGCGGGAGGCGGCGCTCGCCGACGAGCTCGCGGCGAAGGACCGCGCGGCCTTCGCGGCGGCGTCGCGCGCGGACGCGACGGAGAGCGCCGCGCGGCTCAACGAGGCCGAGCTCCGCGGCGCGCACGCCGACGCCGTGTCGGAGCTGGAGGCGCGGCTGTCCGCGGCGGCCGCGGCGGCCGACGAGGCCGCCGCGGCGCTCGGCGCGTCCGAGGCGACGCTCGCCGCGGAGACCCGGGACCGGCTGAAGGAAAAGGTCGCGCTCGAGGGCAAGATCGAGGATCTGCTCGCGGCCGCCGCCGCGCGGCCCGCGGGCCAGAAGACGGGCGTGCAGGTCGTCCTGGCGGAGCAGCTCGCCGAGGCGCGCGACGAGGTCACGGAGCTCAAACACGCCGTCGCCGGGAAGGCGCGGCGCGTCGCGGACCTCGAGCGCGCGGGCGAACGGCAGCGCGACGCGCTCGAGAAGAGCCTCCACGAGGCGCGCGTGGAGGCGCGCTTCGCCAAGGCGGAGCTCGGCGCCGCCACGAAGGCCGCCGCGGAGGCGTCGACGGCGGCCGCGGCCGCGGCCGCGGCCGCGACCGCGCGCGACGCCGCGCGCGACGCCGCGCGCGACGCCGCGGCCGCCGCCGTGGCCGACGACGCGACGCAGACCGACTTCCCCGACGACGACGCGGCCGACGACGACGACGGCCGGGGGCCGCGCTACGGCGCGCGCGACCCGCGCTGGCGCTACCTGCGGCGGGGCGAGGGCAACGGCATCGCCGCGGGGCGACGCGCGCGCGTCGAGGAGGCGCGCGCGGCCGAGCGCGCGCGCCGGGGCGAGGCGCCGGCGCCGGCCCGGCCGTCGTCCGCCCTGCCGAAGCTCGACCGCGAGATCGGGCCCCAGCTTCCCGTCCTCGTGACGGCCGAGGAGCCCAAGCCGCGGCCGGCGTCGTCGCGGCCGCGGCGCCACTCGCGCGCGACGTAACTTTGCTGCTAACTACTCGTGCATCCAGGATGAACCCCACATCGCTCGTGAGGGAGCTCTTGCACGACCCTCGTGGGCTCGGAGCTCTGCGCTGCGACTGAGGCCGCTTCCGGAGCTTCGGAGGCCTCTTCGCCGAAGACTTCGGCGAGCTGCTTCGCAGCCGCCTCAGTGAACGGACTCCCCGGCGTGGATATCCGTCGACGGCTCGTCCGAGACGTCGTCCCGGGAGACCTCCGGGGTCACCCAACCCTCCTCGACCTTCGGCGAGAGCTCTAGAGCGCGTCCAAGGCGTCGAGCGTTCGCCATGCTCGCGGGCCTGCCGCGGCGCGTCGCCGGCCGCGTCGCGGGCAAGCACTACTTCAAGGCGTCGACGGGCGTGCCCGAGCCCCCCGGGGCCCATGACGCGAACTTCCTCGAGGGCCAGGCCGGAGGGGAGTGCGACGACGACGACGACGGGTCGTGCTTCCGCGCGCGGCTCGCGGACGTCGGCGACGAGGTCGAGTTCGCTCGCCACCTGCGGACGCGGTGCGTCCACGCGTACTGGCTCCTGCTCAGCGCCGCGCGCGTCGCCGAGACGGCGGGCCGGCTCAGCTCCGGCGTGGGCCGCGGGGCGCTCGGCGCCGCGTGGACCGTCGCGTGCGTCGCGTTCTGGCTCTACGTCTCTCTCTCGCGCGACGTGGGCCGGCGCATCGTCGACCGGGCCCACGTCCTCGTGCTCGTCTACGTCTCCGGGAACCAAGCCCTGCGCCTCGTCTACGTCTACGGCCTCGACGAGGCGGCGTTGGAGGAGGAGCGGCGCAAGTTCTACGAGTGCATCTCCCACCCGCTCTACTACGTCTTCATGTTCCTCCTCGGCTTCTTCCTGCCCCTCACGTGCAGCGGCGAGGTGCGGTTCCAGAGCTTCTTCGCCTGCGTCACCGTCGGCTCGAGCCTCGCCGTCATCCGCGTCGCCGGCGGCGACCCCCGGCGCGTGTTCCCGCAGATCGCCGTCTGGGCCGCGGCGATCCTCGTGTCCAACGGCGCCATCTACGGCGTCCTCAAGCCGCTCTGGATGCGCGCGCAGGTGAGCTCCGACGACCGCCTCAAGCGGCGCGTCGAGCAGCTGAGCCGCGAGAAGGAGCGCATCACCTGGGAGTGGCAGCTCGACACGATGCGGTCCCGGGGCCGCGACGACGGCGACGCCGCCGGCGCCGGCGCCGCGGCGTCGGCGACGTCGCCGCCCCAGTCGACGGGCCTGAGCCTCACGTCGAGCTTCGTGCGCGACGTCCACTCGGAGCAGCCCCTCCTCCCCTGATGGACACCCAGATAAATCCCATCGTATGCCGCGGATGATGTTACCATCGGGCAGGGCCGCGTCGGCGCGGCTGAGACGCGCGGCGCGGCGGCGGGGGTCGGGGGGGTCATGTCATGTGCAGGCAGGGTATGATATCTTCGTCGCTCTGATTTTTCGAAGGCGATCGGGAAGGTCGTCAGCGTGGGATGGCGCTGGTCGTCCAAGCGTCGATCGCCCGGGGGGAGGTGGGCGGCTCCGGCGGCCGTCTCGGCGCCGGCGGGCCCGGGGGGGGGGGGGGGGGGGGGGGGCGCTGTGCTTGGGCGCCCCGCTCACGCCTTGGCCGCGAGCTTGTCGGCGAGGCCCTCGTAGGCCGAGCCGCCGTGCTTCAAATCGTCGAGCCCGAGCTCCTCGACGGCCTGCGGCACGCGGAAGATGCCCAGCACCTTCATGACGTAGAAGAAGGGCGTCATCGTCGCCGCGACCCAGGCCGTGACGACGAGGAGCGCGACGACCTGGCAGGCGAGCATGGAGCCGTCGCCCGTGTAGAAGAGGCCCGCGCGGTCCGCGTTGCCGTAGGCCGCGCGCATGTTGTAGGGCCGCGCGAAGAGCGCGGGCGCGAGCAGGCCCCAGGCGCCCGCGAAGTAGTGCACGGGCGCCGCGTTGACGGCGTCGTCGATCTCGAGCTTGACGAGGAGGAGCGAGCCGCCCGTGTAGACGAACGCGCCGATCAGGCCGATGACGACGGCGGCCCAGGGCTCGACGACCGCGCACGCGGACGTGATGGACACGAGCCCCGCGAGGACGCCGTTGCACATCTCGGCGACGTCGTAGACGTGGGAGAGCTGGTAGTGGAGGAAGAGGTTCGTGAGGCCGCCGGCGGCCGCCGCGAGCGTCGTCGTCACCGCGACCTTGGCCGCGACGGCGTCGCAGCCGACGATGCAGAGCGTCGACCCGGGGTTGAAGCCGTACCAGCCCACCCAGAGGAGGAAGGTGCCCAGGACCACCAGGGGCATGGAGTGGCCGTTGATGGGCCGGCCGTTCGGGCCGAAGCGGCCGATGCGCGGCCCGAGGATCGCCGCGCCGATGCCCGCGGCCGCGCCGCCGACCATGTGGACGACGCCGCAGCCCGCGAAGTCGACGACGCCGACCTTGAGCCAGGGCGTCTTGCCCTCGGGTGTGAAGGCCGTGAGGAAGCCGTCGCTGCTCCAGATCCAGTGGACGACGACGGGGTAGACGAAGCCCGTGAGCACCGCGCTGTAGCCCGCGTACGCGCCCATGGAGCACCGCTCCGCGACGGCGCCGGAGACGATCGTCGCCGCCGTCGCCGCGAAGGCGAACTGGAAGAACCAGTCGTGGAAGCCGTTCGCGCCTTCGTAGCCGTTGGCGAGGAAGAAGTACTTGTTCCCGCCGATGAACCAGTTGCTGCTGGACGAGTCGGACCCGTACGCGAACGCGTAGCCGGTGGCCCAGAACCAGAGCGCGCCGACGCACGCATCCATGAGGTTCTTGAGCAGGATGTTCTGCGCGTTCTTCGCGCGGATGGACCTGCGCGGGAAAAGGGGGGGTCGTTTCTCGTTCGTCGAGCTTCGACGGTTCGCGCGCGGGGCGATGCGAACGTGCGGGACGCGGGCCGCGCACCCGGCGCACAACATGGCGAAGCCCGCCTGCATCAGGAAGACGAGCACGCCACAGTACAGGAGCCAGTGGACGTCGGCGCCGGACGCGACCGCGTCGTCGCCCGAGTTCGAGATGAGCGCGGTGATCTGCGCGAGCTCGTCGTCTGAGAGGACCATGGCTTTGGGCGCGGACCTGTGTGTGTGTGGAGCTTGTCGGCACGCGGGCGGTTCGGTCGCGATCTTCACCCGGGATTGATTGTCTCGACGGCGACTGTTTCTCGATCTTCACCCCGGATTCCTGTTCGGTGCGAGGTGTCGTCTTCTCCCCCGTGTTGCGTGGAGGTTACGAGGTGTATGGGACGCGGTCACGCGCGTGGAGGAATTAGTGAACTTGTGAGGAGAGACCAGCTCACGCGTTGGCGCCAAGAGTTGCGCGCGCGAAACGGGCTCACGCAGAACTTCAGCGGAGTACGTACGTCGGCCCTGGAGGGGGGCCCCCGGTGCCGTATGAGGCCTCGTATGCTCCCCCGTCTGGACCTCGCGGCCTCCGAGTGCGTAGCGTCCCCGATCGAGAGCCAAGCTCCGCGGGCCGCGTCAGGAGCCAAGCTCCGCGCCAGGGACGTCTGGGCCCCTGCAACAGGGACGATCCCGGCCCCTCAAGAGGAGCCTCCCCGAGGCCCGGTGCGGCTTTAGTGGGCCCCCCAGTGCCCGCGCCTGCCCAAGGTAGGCGCGTAGGCGGGGTGTGTCGCCTAATGCGCTAGAGAGAACTTCAACATTGTGACAACTCGCGCTCCCATGCCTCATGTAGGCCTCGACGTTCAAAGTTTGCAGCGGCAAACGGCCTCGCGCGGCGCTGCCAATGGGTCAGCTGCACGACGCGGCAGCCGTCGGCGCGGTGCCAGGAACGCGACGGGAGGCACCGGAGACGCCGCGTCCCGTCGCGAACGCCGCGGCCTGGCGACCTCCGCCCGAGTCGCGCGAAGCCCGTAGATCTCCCTCTCGCGGCGCACGTTACGCCGCGCGCGGCGCCTGCGCGCGGCGCGCGGCCAGGGCCGCGCGGTAGCGGTCGCGCTCCGCGGCGGGGAGGTTCGCCCAGCCGGGGATCGTAGAGCATGGCGGTGCCGTTGGGGTCCTGGAGGATCGCCGGGTTCTGCTGCTGCATCGCCGCCGCG